TATATCTCAAACCATATGTAGCATTTGTCAATTTTCCAAACATAATTTGTTAACATTTATCAAGAAGAACAAAATGGCGTTCTTAAATTTTGAATTATTAATGCAGTAATGCTTGTATTATTGTTTGAAATGCATCGATTTTTGTTTGATGCGTACTTGTGTCCCCCACCATACAGTATAAAATTCTGTTATATTAAATGCTTCTGATTGGATAAGCGCTAATTCGACCTATACGTTAATACTCGCGGTCGAATTAAAGGCAGTTGACTGTATTTAAAATTATAAATAGATAATTTAATAGATAGTTAGTTGGTGAAGCTGTATGCCTATTGTCAAGCCATGACATAGCTAAAACATTTTCCAAACAGTGTGTCCTAATCTAACAATAAAGTTTACACAAGTTCAATTCTTTAGGGAATTTGGCTGAATTGGCATAATGCCATCTTCGTCAAACCGGACTTCATTCTGTTTAAATAGTGGAATACTGGTTAGTTGTTTCACCAAATGCTATACTGAACGCCCTGTATTCTTATCAACCCGCGAAGTGAATGTGTATACACAACTTCACTGAGCGAAAGAATCTTACAATTCTTTGGTGTTGGTTTGTTATTTATCATGTACAGAAACTTGTGAACAAGGTAGCTTTGTCTTATTTCCCCGAATATCAATATGCGACGCTGATGGTTCTATTTTCGAATACCAATGGGACATTGATAAGAATGAAATAATCGGCTTTGCATGCTTTCTCTTGTTGCTTTCTAAACAGTTTCCGCAATTAGTGTCATATAATAACAATTAGTTAATATTTGTGAAATTCAGTAATTTGAAGCTTTAAAAAAATAAGTTTTACTTTTTCTCAAGTAACGGAAAGGCTTAAAACATAGTGAGATTTGTGCAGAATTAGAGATTTAATGAGCGGATATGATTATTTGCGAGTCTTTTGTCTTGGGTATTAATTCGTCGGTTTATGGGTTGGTGTAGTACAGTCATCCACCGCGTTGGTTTTTTAGTCACAATAAAGTGGTCAAGTGATTATACCTTATCATCGGAAATATTAAGAACGACAAGCTACTGCAAGAAAACATACTTATTAAAGCAACTTTATTATTTCTTTATCAACTAATTTATTGGAAAAGATCAATTGTCGTGATAAGATGGATTTGATATTTTATAAAGCCAAATGATATAACCCACTTCCTCTGCCAACATTCTATGGAACTTTTAATAACTTGATAGAAGACAAAGTTAATAGATCAAGCAAATTTTGTATTTTGTTACCCTGTAGCCAACTCTCTTAGCTAATCACTTTAAAAACTTCATATTCTTGGATAGTGAAATTTCTAGGTATCCCTATATTGGGATAATAACCAGAGCTTGATGACCAATTAGTACCGTTTGCAGATAAGTCTGATGTTCCGCCAAAACATGGACCATATGAAGTATGATAATACACGGCGTATGCGCTGTTTATGATACGAGCAATCTGTGCGGAATTGAGGTCATTAATATCTTTGATATGAAACAAAAAACTTCTGTTGGTGTTTCCGTATGTTCCTTTGTTGAAGATCCAATCCAAAGGATTGTAACCTCCGATGATTGCGTTACTCGAGCTAGGCTTACAGACAATCAGCGTTGGCCCCTTATAGTCACAGAGATTATGGAATGTGGCATTATCAAAGCCATCCCTTGTACCTCGAAGTAATAATTCGTATCGAAATGTCTTATGCGCAAAATATTTACTTGTGTCGATCCACAAGGAAATTAGGTCAAGCATTGTTCTTTCTATGATAACAGAGTCGATTTTCATACTGTGATATTTCGTGCCTGTTCGAGGCTTCCATTGAGACGTACTCGTTTCTGGGTCTATATAATACTGAATGATATCGTTTTTAATATCTTTAGGGATCAATTTTTTGTACGGCATGACGATATCATGAAATTCTTGTGGTTGAAAATTATGATATCTAATATGACAAAGACATTGATGCAATGTCTTTTCTAGGGTTACAAAATTTTCCTTCGTCCAGCTGCTAATATTGCTCGTCGGAGTTAACTCATCATTTTGTGCTATGCCCCACTCTAGCAGCCTGCACCAGATGAATACTTCCGGTAAGTCCAAGTCATCTCTTTGAAGAAAGTGCATTAAGATGGATTCTGGTATTTCACAAAACTCATCACAATCAAACAGAATACTGGGCTGTTTACAGATGATGTCGATGCAAATATTACGTAAAGGAATAAAAGCTTTGTGAAGCCAGATTTTCCTAAGAATTTTGACCAGATTATCGCTCAAGAATTCATCCTTCTTCTCTATAATGTACTGCTGCACATCATTCAATAGCTCCAATAATTCCAACTCGTCTGTAGCCATCAATATATCAAAAACAACTGATGCACGTTGAGAGGCAAGATCAACCACGCCACCGTACAAATATCTAGATAAATTAATTGTTTAACTTAAGCAATTATTGCAAAACAGTCATAATCGGGAATTTATCCATATTACATATCGAAATTATTTCCTCACCCAATTTGCAGATTATACTATTCTAAAAGAAAATATTTCGCTGTCGGATAATTTCCCGATTATTATAAACCAGTCTCAGTTTCCTTATTATTGCGCGACGACAAACCTTAGAATGAGATCCATAGTGGCAGGAGTTACATTTGGTTTGTTGAGAATATACTTGTTATCTTCTTTCTTTACCCATTCTTCACCGAAAGCTGCAGCAAAGTAAGTCGAACGTGCACATAGAATGAGCGAATGTGCTTTGAACTCTTTTGTATGTCCTTCCTCACCCACGCAGAGAAGGACGTCACAATTCTTTTCGTTATTCAGCAAACATAGCAAATCTCTGCAGACTCTGGACATGATTAAGTGAAAGATTGTGTATTGTTGTGTTGAAACCAAAGTTGATTATAATGTGGTGATGTTACACATATTTGTACTACAAATTTTTATGACGTAAAACAATCCGTCTTGGATCATATTGTTGTGATCACGACCTTGCTAAACAAATCGCGTCTATTACTATTGCAGTCAGGGATTTTACTCGATTTGGTCAATGTCGATCGCACCTCTTATGTTATAGAAACGCCGATCAGAATATTCTAGACTCTTCGAAAACGTTCCATATAATAATGACATATTTATTGAAATTATATAATAATACGATTATTAGGACATTTCCCATGACTGGTATCGTTTTACTTTGTAGTACAAATATGTGTAACATCATCACATTATAATCAACTTTGGTTTCAACAATACACAATCTTTCACTTAATCATGTCCACAGTCTGCAGAGATTTGCTACGTTTTTTTGGATAGCGGAGAAAATTACGACGTCCTTCTCTGCGTGGGTGAGGAAGGACACACTAAAGAGTTCAAAGCACATTCGCTCATTCTACGCGCACGTTCGACTTATTTTGCTGTTGCTTTCGCAAAGAAAGAAGATAATGTCAGGATCAAGGCCGTATTCCTCCGTGATTTCCGCTCCGTCACACGAAAATCTCCGATTCCGCAGCACACGAAATCCAAGTAACACAGCCAACGATAATTACGCAGCATTGTGCGGATGTTGCCAAAAACTTGGACAAAACGTACTAGTCCGCTTATATCCATAAATTTGGACAGATA